CATTGACCTAAAAACTAAAGAACCCAAAATAACTGATTCCTCTAACCTCTACAAGAAGCTTCTGATTTGGAGAAAAGCCGACTACAACGTAATCACTACGCCTATCATAACATTCGACTGGCATTCGACTTCTGACGGCTTGAACATTTTCGAAAAATATTAAATATTTATCAACAAATTCAACGAAGCTACCTTATGACACGTCCCATCAACGACCACCCCTTACACTAACAAGCACAAAATTTGGGTGACAAAAGACGTTGCAAATGCTGTCAAATTGAAAAGCAAACTCTGGCGCAAATTTTTTGCAGCCAGCCGAAAAAACAAGCCAACTCTACGTGAACAGCATAAAAAAGCAAGCAAAGCAGTAAAAAAATTAGTTAAAAAAGCTGTTCTTGATTACAAAATAATAAAAATAATCCACTCGTACGTCAAAAGCAAACAAAAAACACACGACCTCATCCGTCAACTTGAAACTAATAATCAAACTACAACAGATCCTAAAGTAACCTGCAACACTCTTAACGAATATTTTGAACCAGTTTTCGAAATCAAACCACTAGTGTCTATATCAACATTCAACACTCGTTCCACTTGCTTAAACCAACCGACCACACTCGCATCATACGAATCCGTCAAAGAAAAATTTTCGGACCTGAACAAATCCAAATCAATGGGCTTCGATGGCATTCATCCACGCATCCTGAAATACTGTGCTGCAGGTTTTGCTATCCCATTGAGTATTGTCTTCTTATTAAATCGCTTAAAGCTGGAGAAGTACGACTTAAAAAAAGCTTCCAAATTGAAAAGTATAATGTTCGCTGATGATACTAATCTTTTCTTATCCCATACTGATATTTATGAACTCTTTTTAACTACAAACAAAGAACTAAATCACATTTCTAATTGGTTCAAAGCTAATAAATTAACTTTAAATATTAACAAAACAAAATGGATTATCTTTCATTCCTGCGCAAAAAAACATGCAATCCGCGTAGTTAATTATGCAGATCGCTTTTCACATTCAAAATATTTTTTTGATTATATGAAGGTTCTAGATGTTTATAAACTGAACATATTTAATGTCTTATGTTTTACTTTTATATGGAAAAACGATTTATCTTTATCTGTTTTTAACGACCTTTTTTCTTTAAAACCAATTAAGAAATAATAGCTTTTTAAATGAACCTTTTTGTAGAACTTAGTTAAATCAATTTTGTATTGCATATCGTGCACCCCATCTTTGGAATAAAATAGTATTACCAAATTTTGATCCTTCTATTACTCTTCCTGTTTTTAAAATTAAGTTAAAAAAATTCATTCTCTCTATGGACAACATTCTAAAATTCTATTAAAAATGTATGTAAAATGTATTTGTTAAATCTTCAACTTATTATATATTAAAATGTGTTGTATTTTGCATAATGTAAATACGTTAAATTTTCTATATATATATGTTATAAATAAATATTTTTACTTTTTATAGTTCCGATGATAAGATTTTTTTTATTCTTCTTGCGGAAACCTAGTTTTATATTGTCAGTACGACTTAAATATTACGACTTATGTTTATGTATTACGACTTATAAATTTTGTAACACGACTAACATTGTAAACTGAAAAAAAAAAAAGAAAAAAAAGAAAAAAAAAAAGTACCGTCTTAATGAAAAAAAGCCGAAATTACTCCTATCTTCAAAAAAGGCTGCAAGTCGAATCCCTTAAACTATTGACCTCTTACGCACACCTGTCTCTTTCAAGTTAATGGAAAGCTTTTTACTAAGGACCGGCGAATATTCGTTAAAATTCGGATTACGAAGTTTACTGAAAGGCGAAGTTGACTTCGGCTTCGACTTCGGTGCCGAAGTTGAAATAGAAATTCGGCTTTCAGTTAAATTCGGTAAAAATTTCAAAATTTCATTTAACTTTCAGTTAAATTCGAAAGCTATAAAATTTTTTTCAATTTTTAAAGAAGAATTAAAAAATATATTATATGTTTTTTGTGTATCAACCTGTTTCTATTGGTTAGAGAGAGGGTTGTAACCAATATAAGAAGTAGCTTCCTCGACTAGAGTGGCCTACTCAACTTTGGGAACATGAATTGGGTAAAAAGTAAAAAAATAAAAAATCGTTCATGTTCGTTCAAAAACATTAAGAGTTGTAAAAATTCCATAACTTAAATTTTCATTATTACTGAATTTTTAGATTTTTTATTTTGACGCAAATTGTTTTTTGTAAGCGTATACTTTTTTAATAAATTAAAATTTACTTGGCTTCACTTGTTCTATGTTAAGTTTTAAATTATGGTTAATTACAAGCTAAAAAATAATAACTTTAGTATATAAAAAATGATTATACAGCAACTGCTGCGCAGTGATTAGAATTCTTGTTTTAAAGCAATAGATCTAGGGTTCGAAGCAAGTTCTAGGCATATTTCGCACCATCGGTATAAAAAAAGGTTTTCTAGTTTAATACTTTTCTGATGTACTCCGTGGCAAAACCTAATAAAATCTTAAAAAATTTCTTTTTTAATTAAATGTGTTTTTAAAATCCAAATTTAACTTTCAGTTAAATTTGGTTTAGAAGTCCAAATTCGGCTTTCAATTAAATTCGGGCTATATATACGGCTTAAATTCGTCTTTCAGTTAAATTCAGTATACGCATATAATCTAAACTCGTCTTTCATATAAAACTTCGAGTCTTAAAAAGTCAACTTCGCCGGTCCCTACTTTTTACACAAACACATTACTGACCACTTAAACAAAAATAAACTCATCAATTCTGTTCAGCACGGGTTCCGAAAAGGAAAAGATTGCATCACAAACCTACTCGAAACTTGCGACATTCTGACTGAAGCTGACCAAAAATGTTACCCAATCAATATCATATTCACAGATTTTGCTAAAGCATTCAAAAAAGTTCCATACCGTCATCTGCAGCACAAGTTGAAATTATATGGAATGTCCAACAACTTGCACGATTGGATCATGTGCCACAAGAATCTGTTCGGAAACCACTCCTGTTCCTTATCTACATTAACGATTTGCCAGACAAAATACAACACCACTTTAAAATGTATGCAGATGACTGTAAAGTAATCGGAATTACAGAACCAAACCACGACATCATAAAACTTCAGACTGATATCAACGAAGCAGTGAAGTGGTTGCACACATGATTCATGTCATTTAATATCGACAAGTGCAAAGTCATGCACACTGGGCGCAGCAATAAAAAAAATCGACTGCAATTTATACAATAAATAACCTGGACGGCCAACTGCGCCAGCTATCATGCACGTCATCTGAGTAAGACCTAGGCGTTTTTACGACTAGCGATCTAAAAATTAAAAAAAAAGTCTGTGCGGCTACTCAACTGGCAACCGAATGCTTGGCAGGCTCAGGAAGGCTTTTCGAGGTCGAAGTTCTTCATTACAGCGCACATTGTATATTTCACAGGTTTTCCCACACCTAGTATTTGCAGTACAGGCCTTGTCACCGTTTTTAGCTCAAGACATTGCTAAACTCGAGCAAGTTCAACACCGAGCCACAAAACATATTGCCTCCCTAAAACACCTTTCATATACTCAAAGACTATCAAGCCTTAACCTGACAAAACTTACTGAACAACAAGAAAGAGGAGACCTTATCGAACAATATAAAATCATAAGCAAAACTAATAAAGTTAACTTTCACGTCCCTCAACTTCAACCAAACACGGAATCTTCATAGTACTGTTTTCGGCCGCGTGGACATACTAAAAAACTAAAAGCACTAATTGTTCGAAACTGCGCTAAAAGAAGCAACTCCTTCACCAACCGTGTTGTAAGATTATGGAATTCTTTAACCCAAAATGCGGTGGACGCAAAAAACTCAAACAATTTCAAACACAAACTGTATTTTCATAATAGAGAGGCCTGGTGTGCCGCTCTTTGTCAAAAAAATTTGTAAATTTATTTTTGATCATGATTGAATAAACCTAAACCTGAACCTGATACCGCGAATAAAACTTTTGGATCAAAAGATTATTTTGAATCTCAATATCTCAACATTTCGTACTTTGTTTATTATCCCTGTTTGTTCTTACTATGATTATTGTAGCTCTGTTTACTATCCTAGGCTTAAAAAAGGTCAACGATTGATCAAAAATGTTTTACGCAAGTCTGTTAAATCTGTTCTTGGCTTGACTGGTCTCATTTGTAAACAAAGGTTTATAAATAAGACCAGTTTTATTTTTGAATTTACTGAGACTGAATTTAACTAGCATGAACTATCGCTTCTTGCGTAATGACATGGTAGAAACTTACAAACGGACTTACAATCTTTATAAATATAGTTACAACCTTTTCGTGTCCTCATTAATTACCATTCAGTATTGCTTCATCAACACCTGTGGTCATGCTTATAAATTGAAAGAGACTTTTATGTAAATCAGACATACAGAAAAACTTTTTTAGTATCTGAGTCAAAAATTTGTAGAATAATCTACCGTCTGAAATAGTGTGTTCAACGTCTGTCCGTAGCATTTAAAAATATCTAGATTCTTATTGGGAACATCAAATGTACAGGTACATATAAACGATTAGACCGGTACAAGTAAATACAAACAAACAAAATGTTGATCTTATTTAAGTTTTAAAGAAATCTTCAATTATTTAAATGCCACTTGCTTATGCCTAAATTAATATGCATTAAATGCCTAACTTAATATGCATGTTTATACTACATACAATTTATTTACTGAAGGGTCGTTCATAAAGATTGATCCCCCCTTCCCCTGTTGCCTTGCGTAGTCTCCCTTCCCCTAAAAAGTACTTACACTTTTGAAATACCTCCCCTCTCTTTTTGAATTAAAAAAAATATTTTTAATGATTGCGTTACTTTTATAATTGATCCTACAACCCCTACCTAATACTTTATTGAACACTTTTTGCAAATCCATCACTCTAAGAACTTTCACTACTTTTTGACCCCTTAGCCTGAATTTTTCCGCATTTTTATTTTAACAACTTTCAACAAACGATGGCAGCAAAGTGGACGAAACTAAAACTGTGCGCATATAATGAATATTAATAACAAATGTTATGGTTAAACTTGGAGCATGGTCGTAAATTTTTATAAGTTTACAATTTCTTTCATGATGTTATGTGGTAATTAATAGCATAATAGGTAAAGAATAAATAATAAGAAAATATATCATGAAATAGTATTATAATATACAGTCATCAATAAAACAAAAAGTATAAAAAGTTAATTAAAGTAATAATTCGTGTAAAAACATTTTACTATAAATAATAATTTAATGATACATTTCTCATTTAATATTCTTTTATAGTTGCAGAATTTATATTTTAATACACAGGATTCAAAAATAAAACAACAGTATTTTTTTAACAAAAGTTTACACTGGATGATTAGTTTTGATCTAGATAAAATTTTACTTGTAACGATACCAATTTCACATCATGTGAAATTGGTGAAATCATGTGAAATTGTGACAGATGAAATTTAATGCATGTGACACATGCATTAAATTTTATCTGTCACACTCTTTTGAAAACCTCAAAATCCAACCGAAAAGTATATAACTAATTTTTAACCATCTCCCTAAAAGCTTATGCACTGCTATTTTTTAGGGTTTTTTTAGTTAAAATTATTTTTATTTCAGATTCTTTGAAACCTTTTAGTAGGTTGATTATTTGCTTGATTGTTTGTATATGATTATTTGTTTTAGTATGCAATACTTTTGTCATATTTGGGTTGGTTCTTTTAAATTGTAAAATGTTCAAAAAGCACGAAGCTTTCTAAACAGTGTGTAGCCATATCTTTTGAGCACCAATTTATGTTTAGTTGAAGTTTTAAATCTGTTTTCAAGGTGTCCACTGTGCTGGAAAAACTGGAATAACTGAAAAAACTGGGGAAAAGGTTGTTTTAGAAAAAACATGCTGGAAAAACTGGAAAATCTATAGTTTTTAGCATTGTTGATGCTGGAAAAACTAAAAAAAGTTTTTTTTATCAAAAAATATTTGCTGTTTAGTATTCTATAAACATTCTCTAATCTTTTAAGATTGTTTAATTCTATTTTGTTAATATTAATATTTTTAATTATCAAATTTCAGATTACTTTCATGTTTTAAGGTTATGTCTAAGAAAATATTTATTACCTCTGCAAAATATATATTAAATGCTGGAATTTAAGTACTTTTTCAATACTAAGACTGGAAAAAAATATGGCTTTTAGTGGCAAACACTAGAAAAACATATCTGAATGAAGTAATTATTGCTGGAATTTTTAAAAATTTGAGTGGACACCCTGGTTTATAAATAAAATACTATTTTAATGAATGTTGGCGCAAATGCCACAAATATTATTTTAAGCATTATATTATGTTAAAAAAAAGATATTGTATTCCTTCAATATAAGTAAAAATTTATTAGAACCTCGTTGAACTGTATTTAACAACCACTCTTAATTCTTGACCATAGTAGTTATTTTCTCACAAAGTTTAGATTTTTATGCACTACTTTAGATGTTTGTTTTATGGATGATGATTGTTTACTATTTCTGAATGTTTTCCATTTTTATTCTAATCCAATCTTCTTGCAAGTACATATGTTTTCAATTGAACCATGGAGCTTGTCTAATTTAACTTTGTAAGATGTATCAAGTTTAATCCCAAAGTAGCATTAAGTAAATCAATATTAGTTTTCTTACTGTTATTACCAAGTTTTTTAACTAATAAACTTTTAATATCTTATTTTGACAGTCATTAATGTGATCTTTCTTCTGTTACAGCTTGAAGTTTGCTGTGAGTGGTGAATTTTAACCCCAAAAAACTAGATTGTTTACTATTGATAATTATTAATATTTTGTTAATAAATGATATCCTGATGAATAAAATTAGAGTTCTCTACTTTATAGTTTACATAGCTATAGTTACACTTAAGTTCTCTTCTATGTTTTCTCAGTTTATTTTACATTACTGACATCTCATGGAAAATACATATACAATTCATTGCAAAGTTTTCATCTGCTAAGGTTGCTTTTATAATGTGCTCACTATTTTCAGACTGATTCTATTTTCTTCTAAAAATCTTCTATGATTATTTGTTTTAGTATGCAATACTGTTGTCATATTTGGGTTGGTTCTACCCATTCTAAAGATGTCTACATTGTAAATGTTGCTGCACCTATTCTAGCTGAAAAGCCTGAGTCCTAACATTGTAAGATTTCTTCTTTTACTGTTTTCTAAAAATACTTTAATGGTCCCTGCTCAAGCAAGATATCATCTCTTCTTCACCTACTAAAACACAATTTTGTGTGAATTACATCTCTTGTATCACAAATCTTTTTAACATCTTTTCTTATCTACTTTGTTATTCCTTAGATTGCACAATCTAGAATGTCATAGTTTATCTTCAAGATCAAGATGGTTTCACTTCTTATCTGCCTTACAGATGACCAAAATCACTAACAAAAGATGTTTATTTAAAACATGGAGGTTTTAAACAGCTGTTTTTATGTTGCAAGAGTGATGAATTCTGAGACTAATGAAATTCATATAAAAAAAAAAAAATTTTTTTGTATGGAATTTTTTTAGTTTCTTTGTAGATGAAAGATTAGGTTTACCACTACTTTTAATACCCTATTTTAGGTAGCAAACAGCATAAGAGCAGTTATCATCTTGTTCTATTCTTCTAACCTTTAAACTCTGTTGACAACTGTTTAACTAGGAATTTTCTACATCTTTACAAATAGTCTTACCTTTCTAATAGCCTTACCTTTCTGTTTAAAATAGGTTTGTCTTGCAGCTTTCAATTCCAATCGGGATCCATAAATTTTTATTTTACCAGTTAAATCTATGATCTATTTTTCTCCAAAGATATTTTTTGTCATTCCAACATAACAAGAGCAGATTCATCTTCTAATTTTTAAATAAAGTCTTGTTCTTTCCAACATCGGACAGTTCTATGTAAAAACATTTAGCACATGCAACCCTATTTCTGAATTTTTGCTGATTTTTACACCAATTAAAGATTATAATAAGTTATGAACATCCTTAAAATTTCATCATCTAGTTCCAACCGGTTTTAAAAGTATAACTATTTTAACTTTTTAAATTCTGCCATTTAAAAAAATGATTTTCACTTTTGTTTCTGTGTGCAATATCCTATGTGCAATACAAAGCTTTTTTCTATGTACAATGCAAAGCTGAAAATATGTAAACTCAAATATTTCATAGCAAGGAATCTAATAAAACATTTTAAAATAAACATAACATCTGAATTTTGAACTTTTATCACAGTTTTACTGGGGCAAGTTTAACTACAAAAATGGTGATGCTCGATTTAAAAATATTTTTTTTAGATCTTGTCCTAAATACCTTAGAGTGATTACAGAAAATTGGAGAGTGGTCTTTTCTTAAACAGAAAAACAAACATTGTCATGTTTGCTTAAATTTATTACTTATAAAACAGGAATTATGAAAAAAATTAAAGAAAAAAAGGTGGTACTCGTAAGTGCTTCATGCATAGAAGTGGGCATTTATTAAGACCCCCACCCTTCCCTCTTCTTCCATTTATAAGATCTGGAAAGAAATTCAGACTTATCTTTTTATTCCTGCCCCAATTTGTATTAAGCACCTTAGAGTAACTTGACAGTAAGGTAATTGAAACAGTTTTGACCATATCAAATTGATCCTTTAGTTGTTGTCATGCTGTTTCTGGTTTTTTGATAGTTTTGATAGTTTTATCAAATCTCAAATTTCAAAAGTTTATTAAGATTTCACTGGTGACAATTTTATTGTTATACAATAACAATTTTATTGTTATACAATAACAATTTTATTGTTATACAATAACAATTTTATTGTTATACAATAACAATTTTATTGTTATACAATAACAATTTTATTGTTATACAATAACAATTTTATTGTTATACAATAACAATTTTATTGTTATACAATAACAATTTTATTGTTATACAATAACAATTTTATTGTTATACAATAACAATTTTATTGTTATACCATAACAATTTTATTGTTATACGATAACAATTTTTTATTCAGAAGTTGTCTTAAATAATTTAGTCAGAGCTATCACAAAGAATTAGATTGTGGTCTTTCCTAAAACAGAAATAAAAACATTTTCAAATGTTTTTAAATTTATTACTTGTAAAACATTTTCACATAAATGTTTTATAAGTAATATAAGATCTGGTAAAAAAAAATCAACAAATGCAGTGTTTTGTATTTGTTGATTTTTAGTTTTGCTAAAATAATTAAAAATCAACTAATATTTATGCTCTATAAATTATATGGTTATTATGATTTCTTTTAGTATTTGCATTTTAGTATGGTTCTTTTGATGGGTAAGCATGGTTATAGAGATAGATAATACTACAAATAATATCCAAATTAATTATGCACCCCCATGGTCATTCTCTCTAGGTAGCCAAACATTTGGTTAGTGAGAGATGATGTCAATAAATTATAGTATTACTATAACTAATAGATTTTAATTTGTAGAGTTTTTGATTATTATATCATTTTTACTTGTCGAGTTTCTAATATGTTTTTTTCAAAGTGCTTTGTTTGTCTTCTAGTTTATTTATTTTTGTTTGATAAATATAAAAATGTTTTATAAGTAATAATTTTAAATACATTTGACATTGTTTTTTATTTCTGATTCATTTATAAAAGTCTATTCACTCTTATAGTGCTTTATAATAACTAAATAAAATGAATAATATTAAATATTTGTATTAAATAAATAATATTTCTGAATAAATATCTCTATAAATCAATAAATAATATCTCTATAAATAAATCTCTATCAAATAACCATTAATAACTCTAGTCACTCTAACTAAACTATTCAGGATATCTAAAAAAATAATAAAAAAAATCAAGCTACATCCGCATTTTTGTTACTCGTAAAATTGGTTCAAATTTCAGGTGCTATATTCAGTTTTTCATGTTTTAAGTTGTTTTATTGGATTCCTTGCATCAAAATATGTAAGTGTACATATTTTAGTACACAAAACAAAAACAATGGTCAAAATTATTTTATTAAATGCTGGATTTTTTTGGTTCAAGCTAAAGTCAAAAAACTTATATCTTGGAAACCAGTTAGAATTAGATAATAAAACTTTAAGGATGTTCATAACTTATTAAAATCTTCAATTGTTGTAAAAATCTGAGACTTAGAGTTACTCTTTATGAAAAAATTGAATGTTTTTACATGGAATTACCCATAACAAAAGCAGATTCACCTCTTAATTTTTGAATAAGGTTGTATTCTTTGCCGGGTCATTTTCCAATAAGGTTTTTTGGATTAAAATTTTTAATATTAGACCAATTCTACATTATTTTAATTTTTTAAATTAATATTCTGACAAATTTTCTTAACTTAAACAAATTATCCAACATTTGACCTAATTTATTAACTACAACAAAAAAAGTACATATTTACATATTTTTTGTTATTATTTTTAAAACTTTTATAAAATTTCGCTTCTTTTGAAAATTTTCTTTCTGAAAATTTTTTCAGAATTTTAGGGACCCGTATGATGTTTGTTATTGGTCTTAAGCAACCCCTAAATTTATTAATTATTTATTACATAGAACACATTTAGAGGGTACCAGCAGACATTTTGAAATAATGTTGTTTTATGAGCTATATATTGTTTTATGTTTTAATAATACTATATATATATATGTGTATATATATATATATATATATATATATATATATATATATATATATATATATATATATATATATATATATATATATATATATATATATATATATATATATATAGGGCCGGCGCGAGTAGGTGTCACGTGGGGGGGGGGGTGCCATTACAACTTTTGCTGACTTAAAAAAAAAAAGTCCTCGTTTTCCAAAATTTGCCGACTGTCATGACGACATTTACCGACTGTCTAACCTATATCGAAAGGGTCGACATTTGCCGACTAACTAGTCTAAAACGGTCCAATTTGCCGACTAAAAATCATTGATGGGGGGGGGGGGTGACACCCCCCACACACCCCTATCGCGCCGGCCTTGTATATATATATATATGTATATATATATATATATATATATATATATATATATATATATATATATATATATATATATATATATATATATATATATATATATGTATATCTGTGTGTCAAATTTAAAAAAGCAGAAAAATAAGTTTTGAATGTTCCAAAATATTTTGTTGTATTATTAAACTCTTCATAACTAAAACTAAATAACATTATTAAACCTTTATTTACAATATAATTGTTAAGAACCATTATTTTTAATTTCTTCTAGATAAATGGCCCAATATATTCGTAAAAGATCACGAAGTCCAAGTCCATATGAAGATTTTGATAAGAAAACTAAAAGTTCTGGTTATCTAAAAAGAAATAATCGCAGTAGATCTAACAGCCCATTTAATGATAATAGTCCCAGATACAATAATAGAAAAAATATAGAGAATGGTGACATGTGGCGGTCAGATAGAGAAAAGATAGCTGAGAAAGGTTGTGCATCAGTTTGGGGGTTGAGTCCTGAACAATCAAATTATGATTCACTAGATGATATGCAAAATAACATAAAAGATATTTCTAAAAAAGAAAAGAAAAAAAAAAGTAAAAAGAAACATAAAAAGCATAAAAAAAAAACTGAAAAAAAGAAAAATGTTTCAGACAATGAGGCTGATTTAACTAAGGAGGAAGAATGGACTGAAAATGCAAAATCAGACAATGTTTCTGTTGGACCGTTGCCAGTAGCAATTGCTGCTGTTCAGGAAACGTCTTTGAAAGATTACGGTCATGCTCTATTACCTGGCGAAGGGGAAGCTATGGCCAATTTTGTAAAGGAGGGTAAACGCATCCCTAGAAGAGGAGAGATTGGTTTAACTAGTGAAGAAATTGAATCATTTGAATCGGCTGGTTATGTAATGAGTGGTAGTCGTCATCGGCGCATGGAAGCAGTTCGTTTAAGAAAAGAAAACCAAGTTTATAGTGCTGATGAAAAAAGAGCGTTGCTCATGTATAATCGAGAAGAAAAAGCTAAAAGAGAAAATAAAGTTCTTGCAGATTTTAGAGAACTTGTTCAAACCAAAAAAAAGAAATAATTTTAATAATGAAGCATTTTATATTCAAATAAAACAGTATATATGTGTGTGTGTGTGTGTGTGTGTATATATGTATATATATATGTATATATATATATATATATATATATATATATATATATATATATATATATATATATATATATATATATATATATATATATATATATATATATATATATATATATATATGTATATTTATATATATATAAATTCTAAATATCCGAAATAAGTCCTCGTAATTGTCAATTTTACTAGATTTATTAATATTACATAGCCAAACGGTATATTTGGCATAAAAATTTATTCTGCCAATATAATACCAAGCTTTAGTATTTGAGTGGGGTTCGAGTACAAAATAGAAAAGTTTTCAAATTTATTTATTATTAAAAATAGCGTTGTATTTTTAATAAAATGGACCAGCCTACTTTAATTATTATTAACTTTTATTATAAAATCTTTTTTTCTTTATTCGTAAATTAAAACTTAGAAAAATAATCTGAAATATAAGTTTTACTGAAACAGATAATTAAAATTCACTTGTATGAAAAATTTGTATTGAAATCAAATTATCGATTTCGTTGATAAAACTAGGTTACATGATTGTTTGAGAGGTTAAACGGTAAACAAAATCAACTGCTGAAGTGATCGTCTTCGTATAAATTGACATAAATAGTTCAACTGCTCGGTGTAGTTAAGGCAATTTTAAAATATACCGTCTATAATATTTTATTGACTACGACATATTTCCGTTAAATGATCAGGTTTGTGAATTATGAAAAAACGAAAAAAATTAAAATGATTAATTTTGTGGTAACAAAATATGCTTGTAGCGAAAAAACCCAGACCGTAGATTCTTTTTTTAAATCTTTTTAATATATATTTTTTTTAGGTGAAATGAACAGTTTAATAATATGATCTGTTCTGATCGTTTATTGGTAATTTTTTTTTATTATAAGCTGTTTCTTGGTCGGAATTCTAGTATTTTTTATGTAAACGGATAAAATATTGTATTGTGACAATTTTATATAGTTAATATGCGTCAGAACTGATTAGAACTAGGATTTATAGTGGGTTGAGGCACTTTTTCAAAGGGGTTTAACCAAGTTCATTTTAACACCGAGGAGCGAAAGTCGACTAAAGACTCTAAGTTGGTGTTCTTTAGATTCACTATTAGGAAAAAGGTTTTGAAAATTATATTATAAAAAAAGGTTCCTTTAAATATAAAAAAAAACTGAAGCAAAAAAAATTATTACATCTAAAGCTCTTGTTTAAACATAATACGCTGATAAAATCATCTTAATTCCAAATAATTCGTATAATTTGTAAATCGCCTTAACTACACTGAGTGCAAACAAATAATTATAAAATTTTAAGGAAATTGTCAACGACATTATTCACCACGACAAAATTTTTTTATTTTTTAATTAAAATATTTTTTTTTTTATTATATTATATTTTCTCTTTATCACCCGGTAGTAAATTACAGGTAAAATAATAATTAAATAGACAGACAATAAATTAAAAATCAGCTAAAACAACACGGCTCTTGTAGTTGTTAGCAATAAATGCTTAAAAACAGCCGGTTTGTTTTCCACATATTATTGGGACAGAGTTCTAGGAACATTCTCCTCCATCAAGATTTTAAATGCCTCTCTTTTTTCTTTCAAATTCCAAAACTGGAACGTTTCTTTCAATATTAGCATAACATTAGTTTGTAGCTCTACGATGGGTTGCGTCAATTTAATTTTTTTGCCATTTAACATGCACTGTTTAAAATTTAAATCAAGTGTGTTGCATTCATCAAATACTTCGTTTGTAAAGGATTTTTTATACTGTGTTTCCTGTATTTGATTAATTATCAGTGAGTAACAAGTTTAATTTTTCAGCAGCCTGATAAAAAGATTAACTTTGTTCCTAAGGAGAATAGTTGAGATATCTTCTATATTTATAAAAGAATGAAGGTAATTTTTACTGTACTTCGAAATACAAAAAAATGATTTTAAGACTGCTCTTCCAACAGCGTCTATTTTGCTGAGAAAATTAGTATCATATTTACATAGTTCAAGACCATATATAAGCTTCGGCACTGTTAATGTATTGTACAGATGAACAATTGTTGATGGCTGGCCCACTGTCAATTAGAGCTTTTGCAACTGATTGAAACTGAGTTATACACTCATTTAAATTTTTCTTTCGGAGTTTTGCAATTTTATTTTTGCTGGTATCGTTATCCCATTGGAAACCCAGATGTTTTAATTTATTTTGAAGATATATAGAAACTCCATTAATTTTAACAACGTTGTTAGGAATATAACTTTTTCCAGAAATCAGAAATTCTGTTTTCTCAGTGTTTATTTGAAAACATTCCGTCAATTTATCTATTCGATAAAGTTCTTTATAATCGATTACAACTTACTTAAGTAGCTCCAATGGTTAATTAAAGTTTAAAATAAATTCAAAGTTTAAATATATAGTCAAATAAGTATAGTTTTGAAGTTTAGAAAAAGTTCAAAATACAAATATTGCAAATTGATAAAAGTATATTTTTTAAGTTACAGCTTAAAACAGAAAAGTTGTTCCGACGAGTAAATAAAATAGAAACGGTTGCGAAAAAAACAACTTAATAGAAAAATAATTTAATAATAGCTAAATAATTTAATTAAAGCTAAATAATTCAATAACTTATTTTTAAAATATAAGGATCTAAAAAGTTTGCTCAAATTTTTTTTAAAATCATTTTAGCCGCAAAAAAGCATTTTTTATAAATTACAATTATCTTGTAATTTATAAAAAATGCTTAAATGCCGACTACAATAAATGGAGATTTTTGTAGTCGGTGACCTAACGGATCATCTAACTTATAATTTTAAATTAATTAAAACTTAGTTAAAATTAATTTCACACTATAAAACTAATTAAAAATAATTAAAGAAAAATATCATTATAATCAAATAACATTTGGATAATTTTTATTGTGTTTAAATGAATCAAATTAACAAAAACCATAAGCAAAGGTTATTAATATTAAAATTAAGAAGCAAAGCACATGATTTTAAAACAATATTTAAAAAAAAAAAATAAAGCAAAGATCTAATAACTGAGGTTCAAGATGTAACAACGGAGTTGTAAAAAAATCTTACTCCAAAGTAGATAAAAATAAAAGGCAAAGCCGACGATACGGGTTTTGAAGTGGGGGAGGGGATACAATCATCAATTTGTGAAAAAAGTCCTTTATATCAAGAATTTTTTTTAAAAAAAAAAAGGTTCTCTAGAAGAAAAAAAAAAGGGGGGGGGGGACGACACCTCTGCCCCCCCCTCCCTCGGTGTCGTCGGCCCTGAAAGGGAAAATGTTTTAGAAGTAAAAGATAAATAAGTTGTTTACCCTTTTCTTTGGCGTTGCCAAGAGGAAAGAAATTGTATTAACTGCAATAATTAAACTTTTTTTAAACTTTTGATCAGCTTCTTTACTTTTAGTCAAGCATCAAGTTAACTAAGATTAAACTAAGTTAGATTAATATGCTATCACATTTGAACGGTGGGGGGAGCCGAGAGAACCTTGCGCCCACTTTTTTCCAATTTTTAAAAATAAAAAATAAAAATATATTTAAATGTTTTTTGTCCACCTCCCCCTCTTCTAAAAAAAAAAAAAAGCCGGCGTTGCAACCCCTCTCTATGGTATTCATGTAACTGTTTTGATATTGCAAATTATCACTTTTATTAAAACAGTTATACTGAAAACATAATAAAAAAAAACTGGATGATTAGTTGGAAAAAAATATGAAAAAATACTTTACATAACTTTTTTTTTATTGTTTTTATTTCCATTTAACCAAGTAAGACTATTATTGCCGATTCTGTCAGATAGAGTCGATGCTGTCAGAGTAAATATTGAATTAAATTTTTGTTAGGTTTGGATGCAAAAAAAAAAAAAAAAAAAAAAAATTAATAAATATTGTGTATTAAAAAAAGTCTGAAGAGACACCTCAAGAATGTAAAACCTTGAAATCTCTCCAAAGCTTAACGGAGCTTTTGTTCAAATTTTATTCAAATTTGTTAAAAAAAAAAACGAATAGTAAAATACTTTTATACCTAAAAAATTTTATTAGAAATTTTATTTTATTAACGTAGTTAAAAAGAAATTTTTGGCTAACGCTCTGTTAAGCTTAACGGAGAGATGAGATTACGGCCCATGGAAAGTTTAACACCACCTCTGGGCAAGTTTAACAGCATCAGAAAGGAAGAAGACGTGAACTTCCTTTTATATGCTCTTTTATGGTGTTTTGTGACAAGACCGTAAGGACTTCTTGGGGCACTTATCTCTTGCAAAGTTCACCAAACCTACTTGCTCTTTGTGAGACTAATTTGAGTTCAGCTGTCTCATCTTGTGATCTTACTGTTGATGGTTATCTTCCATTAATTCGTAAAGACTCCAATAGTCACATGCTTGGCCTAGGCATTTACATTCGTAAGAATTCACTCATTTGTTGGGAAACTAGGTTTGAATCCACAGAGTACTCTTTTATGTGCTTTCGTTTAGCACCACTTCACTCTATCACCTTTCTCTTTGTTCTATATCGCTCTCCTTCATCTCAAGACTGCAATCTTCTTGATGTTATTTCTGATTATATTGACCAAGCCCTCATTCCTCATCCATCAGCCAATATTGTTGTTGTCGGTGACTTTAATGTTCATCACACTGAATGGCTTCGCTCTAGTGTCAGTGACTCCGCAGGCATTAAGGCCCACAACTTTTGCCTTTCTCAATCCCTAACTCAAATAGTCAACTTTCCAACTCGCTTTCCAGATAACCCGAATCATTTACCTTCTCTACTCGACTTATGTCTTGTTTCTAAACCTAGTCAGTGCTCAGTTTCTCCGCACTCACACTTAGGTGCTTCTGATTATGGTTTGGTCTCTCTAAAACTGTTATCTCATTCTTCTTTGCCATCAGAATCCCCGTATCATTGTACATCTTACAACTACCCTAAAGCTGACTAAGACTCTTTCCGTAATTTTTTTCGTGATGGCCCCTGGGTAGAAA